GGATGAGAGAGGGGTGGTCGGGCACAAACCCCATAAGAGTAAATAAAGGCGCAATAAGAGAAAGAGGAGAAATAAAAATGGAATCTCTTCCCTTCCTGGTAACACAAGCGTACTCGTGTAGCGTTTATTCATAAATGAAGGTTGACCTCATTTTTAAACATAATTTCGTTGTAACATGCCCCCGGAGACAAACGAGCGCTGCTCTGTACGAAAGTTTCCACCTTGACGGAGAAGTAAGGAAAACTCAAAACCAAAAACAAAGCGAGAACTTTTATTTGTTTAACGCTCCTTCCAACACGGGTAAGGTTATTTAAGAGGCAGGAACTCCAATTTTAACGTCCATTTCCCATAGGACCAAGCCAAATGGGAACATTTGTATAAAAATGCCTTTCCAAATGACTAAATGAACTGAGCCTCGAACCCCCGAACTCGCAAACCACTCGACTGCCGACGCTACAACACAAAACAATACAAGCAAAGAAATTTCCAAGCTGGAGGTCGGATCAGGGTCAGTCACACAGTACTTCGGTGTATTACTAGTAAAATCCCCAAGTAAGAAGGGAGCACAAAAACGGACCAGAGGAGAAAAAAGAGAGACAGGCTTACAGAGCTAGATATATAGATAGATATATAGATAGATAGATAGATAGATAGATAGATAGATAGATAGAGAGAGAGAGAGAGAGAGAGAGAGAGAGAGAGAGAGAGATAGAGAGATAGAGGGGGGGGCACAGAGAGAGATAGATAGATAGATAGATAGATAGACAGATAGATAGATAGAGAGAGAGAGAAAGAGAGAAGAGAGAGACAGACAGACAAAGGGGAAAGTGAGCGGAGAGGAAGAAAGAGAGAGCGAGAGAGGGAGAGAGGAAGGGATAAAGAGAAAGTGAGAGAGGGAGAGACAGAGGGGGAGAGGGATAGAGAGAGGGATAGAGAGAGGGAGAGAGAGAAAGAGAGAAAGAGAGGGGGATAAGGAGAGAAGTGTCAAGTGCAGAAACAGACAGAGGTCAATGAGCTGCCGGAAAGGGCTGATTAGGAGGCGAA